CATCTTGGATTTTTTCCGATGAACTAAAATAACCCTGCCCCTGATCGTAGCTTCCACGAGTAGGGCAACACCACTGAGGAGAACAGTAAGTGAATCTTGAACGCCATTCAAAGAACTAGAAGATTCTACACTGTAAACTAACATACCCGGCATTATTCAAAGGGCATGCCAATTGATTTTGGGGACAAGCCAATCCGTTGTTACAAAGAGACGACTTGCAGATTCCAGAACCACTGGACTTGTCGACGCTCAGGAAGAGGCCGCTTGTCGTGTTGTAAAAGCAGTTTGTCAAGTTGGTCTTGGATCCATACATACAGTCCACCGTTGTAGGGTCAGGGGCAATGCCATCGTATAAAGCTTCGTCTGATAAAAGCAAAAACAGATTTAAGTTGTCAGTGAGGGAGACTTGCTAAACTCGAAAACATGCGCTTTTGAAAACGGTACTACAACTTGTCTTACTGTTGTTATTGTCCAACGGACAGAATCCACCCTTGGGAATGCAGGTACATTTGGAGCTGAGAAGAGTAGCTGTAGCCGTGACAGTAGATGTCGTCGTATCAGTGACAATACAATTGCACTTTGCGGTAGCTGTAGCAATGCTGAAACCTAAAGCGTCGTTTAGAACTTCAGCACACACCAAGATAAGGAGGTATCCAAAACAAACCGTGGGAACATAAACGGGATGGTCTGAATCTTACTAGTTGTAGCAGTGGCTGTCATCAACTTGTCTGTGGTTGCGCATGACAGAGTGGTGGTTTAGGTAACTATTATTGATCGAGATAAGTTAGATATACCATTTCAACACGATCCGTTGGGTGCCCGAACCAAAATGAATACCAGTCACATACGTATTCTAGTAGTTGTCTTTGTTGCAGTAGCAACGCAAGCATTCGTTCCTCCTCCCAACACTGTGGCAATTAGCGTGGAAAAGACAAACAGGCATTTGATCGAGTGCATCATTGCAAAGAAGTGTGATTCTACACAGTCAATACCGTTTATGTAGCCTTGAGAAAGGCTGATGCGTCCGCTAAATAGCTGGAACCGGTTGTTTGGTTGTTTTGGTTGGGGCTGGTTTGGAAAAAATCTTGCTTACATATGGAGCACACGTTTACCCTTCCCCGACACGCTGCACACTGGAGACTGTGAGGAAGGTACTGTATGTCAGGAATGGACTGCATGATACGATTCTTGAACAGGCGATGCGTATTAGATGACGAAACCAGGCAAATCGTAACTTAGAAAATTCTTGTGTTCACTAACTACCTCACCGCCTGCAAGCAAAGCTTGACAACGGGCGACAAACCGTTCTGTGGACGACATTGACAGCCCATGGTTGCCGCTTCACTTCGACCTTGGACCTACGACATGCAGCAGTCGTGAAGCAAACAGTCTTGCTGGACTTGACTTGTAGGTTTTGATGCTGAAATCGGCCTCAATTACGCAAGTTGCCACTAATAGACTGTTTGAGTGGATATTTACCCAAAGAGGCTGTTATTGAGCCTAGTCCTGTTGTGAGGAATACCGAATCTCGAATCTGGCATTGAGTTTGAGGAGCTTGTATTTGTTGGAAAAACCGCCCTCATAATGGAGCTTTGAAAGGGCGATTAGCAGACCAAGCAGTGCTGGTATGCCTCTATGTGTGAACATCATCTTATTAAGAAAGCCAGATGCTTTTAATGTACCTCGGAAGTTCTGGTTGTCACAAGGTTAACATGCACACTAATAGAATGGGGTGCAAGATTGATGAAGAATACCCTTAAATTAAGCTCTCACTCTATTGGCAGTCACCGTCATCATTTCCTCTTGGAAATGTGGAATTCAAAATGTGCATTGCAAAGATGGATCCGGCGAGAATTTCGATTCTGGCAAGGAAAAAGTATTCAAGAAACCACGTCGCCATGAAGTTTGACACTCCTTTGTCAGGAATTGCGTCTATTTCACATTCATGTCGAGAATCTACTCAAGCTTTCACCATACGCTACACCATCAAGGTGTTATCAGATGATGCAGAACAGAAATCACCATCTGTCTCTGGCGAATCCAAGTTTTCTCGTCAAACAGGTGAGAGATCATATGAGTTATTCGTTCTTGACAAATCAATAACTTGTAATTGACCAGTCGTTTGTCTTTGCAGACAGACACCTTTGTTCATCATGGTTTGTGTGAATACTTGGAATGATTTTCTATTCATATGATCAAGTGACATTAGGCATTATTGGTGCACTGTGGATGCCAAATTGGACGATTACGTATATGATGATTGTCTAACTTTGGCAATGGATTTTCGCTACACTCGACAAGGAACCACTGTTGCACCAGCCATCCATACTTCTCCATCAGCCATCTCGACTATTCCAATTCTGTATACTTCCATAATCCACGAGTTATACTGCAATGATTATGTCTCTAATTGTGATTTGAAGCCACTGACCAGAACAGTGACGTGAAAATCATCCCAGTCATAGTCTCCTACTCACACTATCATCACCGTATTCCAAGATGTCATATTCAGAAACCATGCTCGTGATGGCAAAAGCTCAACTGCCGCATGTCCTCCACGTCATCAAATCAAAGTCGATTACTCAAGTGCTTGTACGAAGCTACTGCTCGCATTTGTCTATGGACGAGCTACTGAAGAATGGCTGCCATCAGGAAGAAAAGATGCTAGTCTTCGTATTGAACTGCCCAAAGCTGCTCACCACTTTGAGTTGGGTCTACTCTATACAGCAGTTGCTCAGGAAATCATATCAGGAGACCTGGATGAAGGAAAAGCCATCGTGTATTTGAGCCTTGGTGCCAAGTACCATCGAGACAATTACTCTCTGAAAACCGCTGCCATCGACTCTGTCGTCAACATGGGAAACAGAAAGGCCTTTCTGAAATCAGCAGAGTTCAAGGATTGGTCTAACCAAGCAGAAGCCATGGCATCCATGTTTAATCTTCTATTGGCTGTCAATGAATCGACCTAGATGGGTGAGTTGAAGAGCGACAGTTATGATATTGTGATTGAGCTGAAACTTTGAATACAAGGGCTCTGGAGAGGTAGTCTCGACTAGTCAAGGAATGGTGCAAGATATGTAAAGATATGTAAAGATGGACCAAAAGAAGGCGAAGATAAAACAGATATTGAAACTGACTTAAGCGTTCAAGTAGAATGTCTAATCCTCCATGTTGAACTTGCAACCGGCGAGGGTTTCTTAGCACCTTGAGCGAAACTTTGGCGAAATTTCTCGCTTTCCGAGTCGTTTTCATCAGTTCTCGTCGTTGCTTGTGCTCATAACTGCTCATCACACTTTCTTCAAAAGTCGAATAAACCTTTCACGAGGATGGCAGCTCCCAAATCCGTCCAGCTAGACACGAGCACAGGACCCATAGTAGTGGAATTATACTGGGATCACTGTCCAAAGACGTGTCAGAACTTTTATGAGCTGGTAAGTCAGCAGTGAATCAAACTGTTGAGTGCAATGATTGAAGCTTCAAGCTTATCTGCAATTGCCATAAAATTGATCTATTCTTATTCAATGTAGGCTAAAAGAGGATACTATAATGGATGCAAGGTATGTGTACTGCTTGCTTTGATGAAACATTGAAGACATTTGAAGCTACGTCTGAACGTTGTTTTGGCTAGTTCCATCGCATCATTGCTGATTTCATGCTACAAACTGGTATGCAAAGATTGCATCGCTTTGCTAATAGGTCGCATTGTACTGACTATGAATATCTTTGTACAAAAAATAGGTGATCCAACAGGGACAGGTATGGCCCAAAAGTCGATCCTCAACGAGAGAGTCATGAGCGTCTACATTCAATCCGTTCGCATCTCATACTGATTCATACTCTCTATTTCCACGTGTAGGCCGAGGAGGCCAATCCATATACGGTGAAAAGTTCGCGGATGAGATACATCCAGAGCTGAAACATACTGGTGCTGGTATACTTTCCATGGCGAACAGGTAACATATGATTGCTGCAATCGAATCGGGCTGAATCAAGCGGGCGTTTGGTGTGCTTGGAAGGAGGTCCACCTTTTGGTCTGCTTGGACAATGTGCTCTATATCGCTCTGAGAATCACGCAAGCGTCTCGAAAAGGAGCTCGTGCAAGTTGTGACGTTGATTCATATACAATTTGCTGATTCTACTTTTTTGTCAATGTATAGCGGCCCAAACACAAACGGTTCCCAATTCTTCATAACGCTTGCACCAACCCCATGGCTCGACGGCAAGCATACTATATTTGGACGTGTCGCTGCTGGTATGCCTGTAGTGAAAAGGCTGGGTATGGTACCTACTGATCGGAATGATAGACCTGTTGGAGACGATGTGTTGATTCTGAAAGCGTCGGCTTTGTGACGCACTGTTTTGTATAGTAAATCAATATATTCTTTGCATCATCATGATATTATTACAAGTTTGAGAGGCCAGTATTCCATTGAGCAAGCACGGGGCAGAGCTTCGTTTAATCAAAGAACTCGGATATGTATTCAATGGCGTATGGAACTAGATGAGAGAAGTCTCATAAGGATCACCTGTCTTCTATTTTTGCCCAACACTGGAAAACATACCTGCACGTATTATGGCGACGTACGCAACAAATGTCTGGAAGGTAGCGATTGATTTCGCTCTCATTTCATCGGCTTCGGCCTTTGAGGGTGGTGGAGGTTGAGTACCGAACATCGTGGAGTTGGTTCCTTGTATCTGTGTTGCGGGTTTGGACGTTAGAGATGTTGGATGTGTTTGATGTCTCATATCACTGGGAATCGATAATGCAAAAGAGCAACGGCAAAGCGATTCAGAAAGGGAATATTCGATCGTAAACGATTCCATTTCGTCTTGGCGGCTCGAAATCAAACCAAACTCAGCATTCCGAGATTCAACCTGCCAGCGAGCTACTTACGAAATCTGAAAAGAGGTGAGAAAAAGGATTAATTGATTGATTGTGCTGACTGGCTACAAGAATATCACGTCGTATCAACCACTTACATTAAACTGTTTATGTTCTGTGTTTGCTGCTTGAATTTGAATTGCAAAAAAAATCAGACGGATAGCTCGAACTCACCAATACCCACCGATTACATATAGACACGTTTCCAATTGTGGAGGATCACGTAGATCCATCTGCGGCTGCCGCGTCAGCTGAGAAATCCGTGTACAAGGTGCGACAGTTGGTGTCGTCGTGGTTGCCGAGGTACGCAATGTCGCATTTCAGTCGTCTGGCTCGTTTAAAACGGATGGCTTGAGTATTCATATTCAGAACATGCTAATTATTCTCTTATATACACATAGTCAACCAAAAGATGCCTCAGCAAGATCAACATCAGATCAAGCACCAGTCAACCTGTACAAGCAGGCTTCATCAAACAAGCTAAGTCTGGTTAGGAGTCGGATTGTGTCTCGGGCTGGTAAAGATGCTGAGGCTGGTAATGGTGGTGGTAAAGGAGGTGCTGGTAAACAGACTGGTAATGGAATAGCGGAAGTGATCTGGTTTTTTGCTCCTAACTAAAACCATCGCAAATGCAGGTGAAGAGGACTCCAAAGTATCCATGATGTCGAAATCTAAACGGCCTGCTGCTTCGAGTGTGGTTGATCAGTATGCGGCAAAGAAGAAGCAGAAAAAGGTCAAGAAATTGGAGAAGGAGGGTGGTGGTGGTGGTGAGGATGGCAAGTCATGACGAATTGGTTAAGAGACCCTTTTCGGATTTCCTTGTAGACTCGAACTATTGTACATACTTGTAAAAAACACTAGAACTCGCATTCCATAGGCAAGGTCATGCTTTGATGGTCTTTTTTGACATTCCCATTTTTCAAACATACATGAGGAGGGACCCTCAAAGTCTACAAGACGTGACAGTATAGACGGGCATGCACTGCTTTAGTGTTGGATGATCTGTAAACTTCAAGCAGATGAAGAAGGCACAGGGGGGAGATCGCCGTGATGGGTGGATCAAGTCAAGGCCATGACATACGGTGGAGGAGCAAATTCTTTTGCTTGTCTTGTTTAGCATATACCACTGCGAATAATTACCTCGAGAGACACATAGAAATCGCATTTCAAACACAAATCGCATCCATTGACAGAACGCCTTAATTTTCTTCGCATCCTACATTTATTTCAAATCCTCTGCAAAACATTTATTTCCTATACCTCACAACACCCTCCTCCACCACCAAACACAACCCATCAAATAAACAAATCCAACTCCCCCCTCGCATACCGATTCTTCCCATAATCCTCAATCCTCGGATAGTACGCAACAAGCGCATCCTGACTTCCAATATAAAGCGAGTTAAACACCTTCCAGTAAATCTCCCGCACCTTCCTTGCAGGATGATACAACCCCTGCAACACATATTGTAATACCACAGACGGTCCCAAGGCACATCGTAGCCCTTCAATGGCTTCAAGTACAGCATTGATTACGTGTGGAGATGTTTCGAAGACGTTGGGCCATACGTAATTCAATATATGGAGGAGTGCATCTTCACAGCCAAGACCAACGACTCCACAGGCGATGTGTTTAACGGTTGTACATGCAGTCTGGCGATGTACGAGATCACGGTCCATGAGCGCATCTTCGAGTAGCGGTGCGACGGCATATATATAATCTTTTCCCATTTCTCCTATATACTCGAATAAAAAGGATAGAGATTTCAAGACTCCGTTCTGTACGTTCAGTTCAGGTACTCGGTATTCATTCATGAGTGCTGGTAGTACCGTAAACGGTGCACAAGTTTCAGCTACGATGGCTATTGCTACAGTCGTACATACACGGTTTTGACGTTCCTGTACTTTGAGATTGTTGAGCAGCGTTGCAAGTACATCTTGAGGTCCAATGGCTTTAGCTATATATCCAAAGGTATTGACTGCTGCTCGTCGAATTCCCTTTTTATGAGCCTTGAGGAGTTCAAGCAACTCGAAACAGATTCTCATCCATTCTCGAGCTGATACAAACTCGGCTCCTCGATCTGCTACACGACCTACGAGATCTATACAATTCTCTTGTACTTTTTCGTGTCGATTCTTTAATATAGGTGTGAGTCGTGGCAATAAATCTTTTATCGGTGGTGTCATGGAGCCCATACCAATGACATTGACTATAGCCTTCAGTCCACCTAATATACTGCCCAACACTTCAGGGTATTCTTCTCCCAAGTATTCATACAATACGACACCTAAATGACCCATAAGTTTCTCCTCACCACATTGCTTCATGACTACTGCAATACGTGATACCAAGTCGGCAGCTTGTTGTCGTACTTTGGCAGACTTGTTGTTGAGTCGCCATAAGATAGTCGAAGAGATTTGAGGCAAGTATGGTTTGACTCTCATACCAAGGGAATTTACTACAGTACCAAACCCATTCAAGACTACAATATCTTCAATAGTCTGTTCTTGGAAGCACGTTACGATACCATCTACTAACAGCTCTTCCAATCTCGCATCTACATCGGCAGTTCCCAGTGTAGATACAATCTTGTCAATGGTTTCCATCACCATCTTTCGATATGGTTCGGATTCATCTTTCAAATCTTCGACTATACGACCAACTATTTCCGTGACTCCAACCTTTTGAGCTAGTTCTACGGTTGTTTCTACTACTTGTTTATAGTTTCGTCGATCAAGTGCCATACGACGAACCCAGAAATTCTTGAAGAATTCAGGCAAGATTTGTGCCTTGATATAAGGTGCCTCGACACCGTCAGTTCCAGCACATTGTTTGACGACTTTGAGTACAATCTAATGGTGTGAGAAGAGTTATTAGTCTCGTTGAAAGAGTCTGAACGATCTGAAAAAAATGAGAGAGTGGTTTGGACAAGGCAGAAAAAGATGACAGTGCACTGACTACTCTGATGACAGTCAGAAGTTTCTCAAACCATCTCGAAAACACGACTCCCATTAGATATACATACACGTAACACCACCACCAACAACCATCTCCACCCAAAACTCCTCCAAAACAAGAAACAAAACAAGAAACAAAACATCCCGTCGAATCCAACCATTGCAACACGCACCTTCTTCATCTCCTCATCAGGCGACTGAAACTCCCTAATCAAGATATGCATAACCTCAATCGTATAATGATTTGCATATTCAGCATCCATCAATGGTATAATATATCCAATAGCTTTCAAGAAGGCTGCCAGTCCCTTCCCCCTATGTGCCTTGATCCCATCCCACAATGGTCGCAGCACAGAATCAAAGCTCTCGATACCGTACGGAGCAGCTGCTTCAGCCAGTGCAGCAACAGCGAGAGCGGTGATTGTTCGTACTTTTTGCTGATCGTCTGTTAGTCCGTGATGGATTGCATCTACAAGTGATTTGAGATGCGGGAGGACGGCACATCCCATGAGAATGGCGACTTGTTGGATGATTTTTATACCAGTGTGTCGTGCCTGCCATGATTTCTTTGATTTACAAACTGCTTTTAGGAAGGGGAGGAGGGCTGGGATACCTAGTGCTGATGCTACGACAGAGAATGCTCGTGCGGTGGTATTTCTGACGTATTCATCTATATGGTCTATATCAGGTCGCATGGTTGCAATCATGGTTGCGAGACCAGCGGCTTTGGAGAGGTTGGATATGATTTCTCGACCTTCGACACGAGCATAATAGTCTTCGTCAATCAATAACGGTTCTATGACTACGAGGATTTTGTGGACGTATGGTCGTACGAGATCGTCGAGTTTATACAAGATACGGTCAATGACCTTGACGAGTAAATGACGTTCTTGTTCTTCCAAGTTGGGCGACATGAGTAGTGGTAGTACCTGGTTGAATAATGGTCCAGCACCGAATTCTCTAGCTTTATCGGTAATTTGTCGTAGTGATGATTTACGCATGGGAGGAGTTCCATTCTTGATTTTGAGTAAAAGTCTCATGATTTTACGTTCCTTTAATTCTTCGACTGATAATTCGGCATCATCCTTCTTGTCGAGCAGTTTACCAAAGTGCTGCATATCCTCAGGCTTGAAGAATTGCAAGCCATCTACACCATCGATACTAGGAGCCATATCCATTGACATTACAGTTTCATCCTGCATGACAAACCCACCACCCATACCAGCCATTGGAGTAGGAGTAGCCATCAATTTACGTGCAGGTGTTCGAATGGGAGCATACGATGATGGAGGATCTAGTATTTTATAACCAGTGGTAGGAAACATGGCATCCAATTCATCATCAGACAAGGGACGATTACGGACATCGATTTCCCGTTCCCATCGCATAGCATTTGCGGCTTCTGGAGTCATTGGTACTTGCATGGGAGTCATCATTCCTAGATTACCCATTGGAGTGGCTGCGAATTGCATGCTTGATGATGTGGCACCTACAGGAGTTTCATCCCACCTAGATCGTTTGGGAGTGGCTGATACTTGCTGACCAGAGGGTGTAGCATCCCATCGACTAGATAGTGCAGCGGCGGCTTTACCATCCATGGTTGGCGTTTCATCCCACCTATTCTTCTTTTTAGGTGGTGGTGCTACGGATGCTACAGAGGATGCCGAGTCATCGTCATCCCATTCAGAATGTATAGGCTGTGTAGACACGTCTGATGGAGCAGGAGATTGTTCCGTAGCCGTAACATCCCATCGACGTTTCTTGCTAGCATCTAGAGTGGTTGCCTGCTGCGACGATCCATTCTCTTTAGCTTCCTGCTCCTTTCTCGCAATCCTTTTACGAGTGTCAGCTTCATCACGATCCAGTTCAGCTTCCCGAATGACTTCACTATACGTCCTAGCATCTGCACTACTACTTTTACCACCATCAGCAGCAAAAGCATCGACACGTTCAGGCGACAATTGACGATTCAACCGCTTCTTCCTATAATCGTCTTCTCGATCGATGATACGTTTGGACGTAGATATACCAGCGAATGGATCTACGTCATCGTCCTGGTCTACTACGTCCTTCATGGCACCTTTTGGAGCAGTGTATGATGCGAGTCGTTTCGACTTTTGGGCATAGTTGTCTTCGTCGTCGTCATCGTCTACATCCATTCGTGTGTCGATCGAGTCTACATAGTCGTCTCCGCCACCTCTGCGTGGTTTTGACGAGTAGATGTCTGTGTCGAATGATATGGAGCCCATCATGGGGACTTTGTCTGATGGAGCAGCACGCTGTGAGGCATTGCCATCAGTCTTTTTCCTTGCTGCTTGTAGAGCTGATATCTCTCGTAGAGTGTCGTCTATGGATATAGAGAACAATGGTTGGTAACTAGCACAGAATGTTGCAAACTTATATCGAATTTGATGATGATGATACATACCTTCATCAGCCATACTGGGTATTTCCTTGATGTTCTATAGTATATGATATGATACCTGAAGTCCGCAGCAAATGGAATAGCTGTATTCAGCTCGTTCTGCTCGATTCCTTGTTTTTTAGTTTTTTGGGAAGTTTGGATAAGGAGAGCTTAGTAGAATACGTAAGATATTGGAATGGAACAGAGAATACACGTATTAAATTCATACCGCGTTATTACCTAATGCTAGGCAACTCACGTCCCTCTTGATCAATGAAAGTCAAACAAAACATTGAAAATGGGCTTTACTTTCGTGATTCAACTCTTATCCAAAGAAGGTCAACTCGGATGTATCCATTCTGACACGTATAAAATCATTCCGCTGTCTCAGATCTCTGCCTCGAGCTTTACATAAACCAAAGCAGACATCCTCTGACAATTCAAAACATCTCGAAACCAAGCATCTTCCAAGAACGAACGTCAACGCAACAATGGAAGACGATGAGCTAGCAGCAATTAGAGCCAAGCGAATGGCTCAATTAAAGGGTTCAAGTGGTGGTGCTCCTGCTGTAAGCTTGCAATGCAATCTTTGCCCTGTCGATTTTTTTGTTGCCTGTTTTTGAAACAATGGATATACCAACATAATATCATATCCTCATAAGGGAATGACTGGCCTCCCACCTGGCATGAACATCCCTGGCATGACTGGTGGTCAGGGCCAAGGAAATCAAGCAGAGGATGCTGAAAAGAGGAAGCAGATGGAGGAAATGAGGAGGACTATGGTATGGTGTTGTCTAGCATGATGGACACTGATTATGCTGTATTTGAACTGATTCCATTGTGTCTTTAGCTAGTACAAATACTTGATAATGATGCGAGGGAACGATGTATGTAGGAGCATGCACAAAGTTGAACTTATAAAGATTTGATCATTAACTTTTCTCGCTCCTTTAGTGGCACGAATCTCAATAGTGAAACCAGACAAGTCAAGAGCTGTAGAAGATTTGATTATTCGAATGGTATGTTGGAAGAGCTTGCCTTTGTAACAGCAGAATGCCACAAAACACCACACGACAAAACGAGACCTGATTTCTAAATGAGATATTCCCTCTCTATTCGTACAGGCACAAACAGGACAGCTACGCTCCAAAGTCAACGAAAAACAACTAATCGACATGCTTGAACAAATAAACTCGTCCTCAAAACCTGAAACCAAAGTCAAGGTGGCTCGTCGCCGTGACGATGACGATGATGATGACGAAGATTATGGGTTTTGAGAGGAATGTTTCAGTTTGGTTGTCATGCACTTTGTAATATAAGGAACTAGCTTTTTAAAATATCACGAGAGGTTTTAGATCAGTATTGTAGGTGTGTTGACGTGGCTAATTAACTAATTGACACCACGATGTATACTTCTAATTCTGCCAGAATTTTTTTGCGTCTGACTCGTCTGCTGTGTGTCGCTGCCAGAACTAGAAAATCGAAAATCAAGTGCTCACAATGAGCTTGCAAATATCCGTACCAGTCGCTCCACTCCCACAAGCAGAAATTGATGCATACACTGATCGCATTGGAGGAAGCCCAGTAAGTACCTCTTAAATGCTCTCTCTGCACTCCATGATCATCATCTCAACCTTTTTTTTATTCTTTATTACAGGTCTGGCTACGACACCACCCACCACCAAACCACATACCAACGTGCTCATCATGCACATCCCCTCTCTTCCTCATCGCTCAAATCCAAGCTCCAAACCCAGACCGGAAGACCATGGGCAGAATCTTGTATGTCTTTGGATGTAATTCACGAGTGTGTATGAAGAGGCCTGGGAGGTATACGTGTGGAGTTGTGCCGTCTTTATGCGATGACAGGCAACTGAATGATCTCTTTTGCTATTTAGTTGGAGAGTGTTGAGAGGACACGAGTATGTCGAGCCTCGAGAGAGGGTTGAAGTCAAGCCTGCTGTTGAGGTGGATGAGAAGCCTAAAGTTGTGGCTACTGCTTCAACTTGGGCGAATACATTGTTTCCTGTGAGTGGGATGCTGGGATCGCCAAGTAAATGTGAATGAGAAACTTACAGACACCCTTTTTTGGCACTTTTCAGGCTGTCGATGACTGGGCCGATGATGAACCAGCTGCAAGCAGCAGTGTGAATTCTCTTACGAGTGCGCTGGAAATCAAGGATCTGCTTAAAGCTAAAGAGGATACTGTCGTGTTGGAAGTGGGGACTGTGAGGAGTAGTTGTAGTGTGAAGCAGGATGCAGAGAGTAACGCATTGCCGAGTGCGGGTATGGTGGCTGCTACTGCGGAGATTTGCGTAGAGCCGGTGATAAATATTCCATCTTCAGGTATCCGTGGCGCACCTCCTTTGACTTTTTTGGCACCAATAAAACCGCAACAAGAAAATCCATACTCAACTCTTATTTGCATAGCCTGGACCCAACTCCCTTCCTTCCCACCCCACTCAATCGAATTCTACACCCCAGTACCAACCAAACCCGACGACTTCTCGCACGAGCAGTCCCTACTATCCGAATACCAAAAAACAGCCAAGGATTTCGAAGCACCGTCATCAGACAACGGTACATCCGCATGGGCACCAGAATCATACGAAAAGAATTACGCAAAAGGAGTTGACAAACTCCTCCACAAATTCCTCAAAACAGTCACTGCAGAGGACGCCAGTCAGTGTATCCGATACCAGTTTAACGGAACCCCGTTACTGTTTTGTGGAGATGACGTCGCTGCTCAGGTATATAGTAAGAGCATACCGCCGGCATGTGAGAACTGTGGCGCTGCAAGGGTATACGAGTGCCAGCTCATGCCTGGGATATTGTCTGTGCTGCCGACGGAGAAGTTTGCCGGTGGGAGTCACAAGGGGAAGAGTCCTGAGAAGGTACAGGATTTCAATACGTGGTTGGAGGCTAATGCACAGGGGATGGATTTCGGGACTGTGCTTGTGTATACGTGTGGTGCGGATTGTGTGAGTGGGGATTTGGAGGCAGATGTGGCATATATGGAGGAGCATGCTGTCGCGCAGGTTGAGAGCATTGGATGAAACACACTAGTCGCTTTTTTTTTTTGTTGCATTGATTTGCACATAATCTGGTGTCCTGAAAACAGAAACCTCATATTTACATACTCACATGTAAAAAATTGTATTTGTATATCTCATTAAGCTATAAAAAATGTTACTACTCCTCCCTCAAAAACCTCTCCACATCCCCAATCTGCTCCACCTTAACCAGCGGCGGCGCATGTCCAATCCCCGCATAAGTAATCAGCCGCGCCTTAGGCCCTCTCTCCGTCATCTCCTTTGCCGTCTCGCTCAACAGCACATCAGACTTCTCCCCCCTCAGCAACAGCACTGGACACTTAACCAAATCGTAGATAAACCACAGGTTGACATCCACAGCATTCTCCATCCCATGCGCAATGTTGGGATCGTGCGCGAGTCCGAACGTGCCGTCAGGGTTGGTGCGGTGGCCGTATGTCACAAAGTGCTGCCATTCTTCATCTAGGGTGTTAAATTAATTTGTTGCAAAAGTGTGTGTTAGCATACAGTGTATTGGAATTCCAAACATTAAGGCAAAGAGCGTTACCAGTAAGTGTACCAAACGGGTATGTCGTTTTGAAATACGTTTCAACACCCTTCAAGTCCGGAAACGAATACGATTTCGCCACGTAGCCGTGTATCCTCTTCAGCGCCTCTGCTTTCGAGAGCGGTCCGATATCGTTCAGGACAAGTTTCCTGATCTGGTTGCCAGCTGGAATGAACCGGTTGTGTAAGTACCGTGCAAAGGAAAGTGCTGCCCCAGTCTTGACGAACTTGCAAAGCAATAACATCACAACAAACTCACGGGCAGCAGCAGTCATCATCCCCATAAACCCGCCCATTGACGTCCCAACCCAGTTGATGGGACCAAGCAATGCGGTTAGATGGGCAGCAATGCTTAGATACAGTGGGAAGCCATAGTCCTCTTTGTGAGGCAGATCGGGCGATGTGCCACGGCCGGGCATTGTTGGGCAGTAGACAGCGGAGCTTGTGGTTGCTGCGAGGTGGGCAGCGAGTTTGTCAAAGTCTCGTCTATAAGATACGGTGTGAGCTTTAAGTGTAACGTGTGGTGATGATGGTTGATGCTACCCGTTACGAGCGAGACCATGGCAGCAGACAGTTGGGATTCCTTTAGCGGGTCCACGCCATATCTGTGAGATTGGTTGCGGACGTGTTAGTGTACTGTTGAGTGGAAAGGAAGCAGCAATGTCCCAACAACACGAATTGTGAGTCGACAACCAAATGTGAATATAAAGAGAACGACGGTTTTGCATACCATGCATGATACTTTGATGAAATTACCGCGTGCCGTTAGCACAGATAGAGTGGTTTCCTCAGACGTGACGCCAGACATGTCTCTGTATTATATCAAGATGTTCGCTGCTAGGAGAAGTAAACCAGGTCGAAATTGGTACATGACGCGTTAAATGACTTTGAAATCAATACTGTATGTCTATACTCTATTGACCGCATACTGAATTCAACATCTTAAATCCAATTCTTTCTTGAACCAAAAAAAAGCATCAAAACACCAACAGAAGCTATCAGGGAACGAAAATGCAGAGCAGTATGCGAGCTCCCATGATGAATACCTTGTCTAGAGGATGTAAACAGGCTAGGATACCGTCTCTCCCACTGCCTGGTATCAGCACGGTAAACCGATACTCGACATCCAATGGAGACAATAATAGCAGTAGTAAACAGCCATCACCTATAATACAGCAGGGAGAAGCAGCACAGCCATCTACATCAGATGCCCATGCATCATTCATATCGGATGCACCATCAATACCACCAGCCAAAAAAGCTAAACGAACAACAGACTTCATCATGCAGTCGCTCATGAGACTCGAAACAAAACAAACTCAGGCATCGCTATTCAATCTAGACTCGAAATTCAAACGCAGTAATACTAGTACCAGCAACTATCCATCCCTCGTAAACCCACACCCAAACAGTACCAACACAAACAAGCCAGCATTCACACACGAACCCCCATCATCAGAAACACCAATGTACCGTCTCCACATAAACGCAGGTCGCAACAACACCCTCCTCACCCTCGCATCACACGAGGGAAACGTATTATGCTGGACGTCGTCTGGCAGTGTAGGGCTCCGTAAAGCAGCACGAGGAACATCAGATGCTGGGTATCAGGCTGCTGTATCGCTCACGGAAAAGGTTAAGGCGAAGGGGATTAGTATGGTGCCGCAGATGCATGTTATCCTGAAGGGCTTTGGACCGGGACGCGAACAAGCGTTTAGAGCCATTCGGATGGGAGTGTTGAAGATTGGGAGGATTTCGGATGTGACGCCGATCAGACATGCTGGGTGTCGGCCGAGGGGGAAGAGGTCATTGTAGGTTGAGCGTGTGGTGTGGAGGTGGTGTTGTTGTGAGGGTTAATGCATTGAGAGTGTATATAGTATAGTAGCTCAACAATGGTGGCATCAACTCAACTCTTGAGACTCTTTACGAGCTTTTAGCAGCTTTTTTTGTCTGTCAGAATTTGATACGTGAACAAGCGCAATGCCACTCAAACCCCTTTTTTCGAACTTGGGTACGTAACTTATGAATCAAACCGGATATGAATTCATGATGCAGAAATTGGAGAACTAGCTGAATGTCTAGTCACAACTGTGGTGAAGCACAATTCATACTCACAAATAGGGGGTTTTTTTGCTCGTTTATGCTGCTTTCTACTCCTGATCAGGACTAGCAAGCTACTGCACCTCGCAAAAAACCACCTCTGAACGGTATTCAAATGCATTTTCGAGTAAATCACCACCACCCGTTCAAGTTCACAAAACGAATCTTTCAATCATGAGCTGTAAAACTACTAAGATGGCCTTATATATGAAATCTGCTCAACGTCACCACGAAAGCATTCTCTAGCTCCATTGGTATCAAGTTGCCCGGTTTCGCAATTCGTCTCGCAACCATGGTGAACTACTCAGTGCATTTTTTTGTTTCTGCTCTGAAGGCAACAGATTCAATCTTGCATTGCTTTTACCAAAATGCCATTCATTTCAAATTGCTTCTTGTCGGTTACAAAGTGTTTGGATTTGGATTTGTATACACACAGTGTAAGTTGCTCACCAGATCAAGCGCTGACAGCACGGTTCATAGTAGAACATGTCAATGAGCAGCAGCGACTGTGAAGCTTCAGCATTTTTTCTAATTAGAAGACCTTGCTTCGCTACGAATAAAATCCCATCAAATTACTAGCACAATGTGTACCTCGTGCTTCTCGCAGTGCATCTGTCCGAATCCAAACTTGGTCGTCCATGTTTTTTGTCGCTCACAAACAGCAACTCGACACCACATCCAAATCCATTCTGGATTCTTCTTCCATCATATTTCATTTTCAAACTTTTTCTTACCAGATACAAGTTTTTTCGTTTTCTTTTACAGAAAATATACACACACAAGCATCTCGCTCACCAGAGCAAACACTTGTCCACCGGGTTCATATTCGAACCGGCTGGACATGAGAAAGTCTTGGCAAAGTGTGGAGAGTCTGATACGACTCCATTTACACGGAATCGGCCCTATCAATAAATTCCAACGTCCTCGTTAGCAAACAAAAAAAGTGGTAAAACAAGCTAACAATGTCTTACAGGCGAATGCGGATCCGTCCTCAATCTCACAATACTTTGCTGTGGAGTCACAGTTCCACACCAAACTTGCGCAAACGAGATGTAAAAGAGCTGGTCGCGAGATAGTTGAGTCAGACCAGGCATTAGCAAGTTGTTTGTGTTTGGATCCTTGGCTAATTCCATTTGATACGACTCGTAAGATCTCATGATGCCGTTATCAGCTAGATTTTCGCTAGTGATAGGTGTAGAGAGGTTGGTGAGTGCGACGGTACATGTCATGAGAGAGAGGTCCAAGTTTTGTGTTGTAATCGTAACTAAAGAAGCTCGAACATTCTTTTGCTACTCACCCAAGAGTCAACTCTCCATTAAGATGCTGAGGCACTCCAGAAGGATCCAAGACTGTATAATTCCCATATTGGTCAACGAAACAAGTAGCCAGCTCTGCGTAACGGACGAGGTCACTAAGAATCGACTGTAATAATAAGTTCGCGAAATGCACTTACTTTCAAACTCAACAGCAGTAGCATTCGTCCACCAGTCTCGCAGCCTGCCTTTAGAATCAAACTCTGAAAAAACACAAGGATTGGAAAGTCTTTAACTTTAGTTGCCAACAAAAATTAACAACTCGATAAGCCTCAACAGGCGATTTAACTTGCCTCTCCCGTTATTGTCAAATGCATGAGTCAATTCATGACTAAATCAGCGAAAATCGGGTCAGGGAAAAGTCGAAACATTCCCAGCAAACACCAAATGATATCGGGAAGCCTCGTCATTCTCTCGTTACCTAATAACAGAACCGATGCCTCCATAATTCAGATATACAGGGACGCCGTGACCGTAGAAACCACCTTGAAGGATTCCAGCTGGGAATACTATTTCGTTAAGTCTACAAAAGCAAAAAACAGTCAGGATATGTTCAGTCACCAGTGATATATAAATTATTGGCTACCAACTCCACTACTCACGGAGGATTATAATATGCATTCACCGTCGCAGGCGACATGTCAAACTCATCGAAATCAACAGGCTTCAAGATATTAGCGAGATTGTCTTGAGTCTCCCATTCCGTACTCTTGAAAAAGTTTTCAAAGTACTTGGCAGCCTGAAAGTCAATCAACCCGTTATATTTGGCTGCCACGTCGGTTGGATTCAGGATATAGTCTGGATATCCTATCTTGCGGCGTAGCGTCTTGACTTTTTCGATAGCTTCTTTACGTGTTTCGGCGTCAATCCATGGCAAGCTCTGTAATCGGTCAATCATTGACTGTTTTACGTTATCGATTCCTCGCTCTACTGCTAGTTTTGATTCCGCTAGTTTGAGACAGGAAAAGTGAGATTTTTGATTGAGCAAGGCGTAGAACAAAAGGCGACTGTCAATTACAAACAATCAGCTCAAACTTGTTTAGAACTCGTTCCAACCGCATACCTCCAAAAGCCTTCTGAACAAAATACTTGCCAACAGGCATCCCAACAATCCCATCCACCGTCCTCAAACAAGTCTCATATCGAGGTGGTTCAACCAAACTACCAGTCAATTGAGCCTCAATCTTTCGAATCGGTGCTCGTATAGTAGCCGACGATACTTTGGCATATCTTTTAATCAAATGCCACAGCATGTAATTCTGTAGTGCGACGGGTTTGGTGCTTTGAATTACGGCTGTGAGATTCGAGTAATATGATGGTGGTTCAACGATTACGACAGTGTTTGGTTTGTTGACGTCTGGGAATTTCGCTTTTGGGAATCGTGTGCCAAAGTACGTGTCCCATACAATTGAGGAAGAGAGTGTGGCGAGTTGGCTGATGTTGTATGGGTTGTATGTGAGGCCGGGTGTTTGCAAGTCGACGCTACATGAAAGAAACAGAGTGTCAGGTGAGCAAAGAAGACGACAATACGAAACTGCATACAATAATTTACTTACGGATCCCAAGAAACTTTAGCGACTGCTTTCTCAAATGCCACAACACCAGCTCCAAACCCACTAACATTCCAAGCCACCAATTCACTCAACGACAAGAGCGACGCAATCTCATCGATACCAGACTGATACACGGCAAGAACCTTATCATCCTTATAGTAGTCTTTAGAAGGCAGTCCAAGTCCACTCTGCGTCATCGTAATAACATTGACTTCAGGCTCCTTTGCATCTGGCCCAACATACAAATCAAAAAATGGTCCTAACCCATAGTCATGCCAAAGCGCAACAGCTTTCGTGAAATTGGCACTTGATATTTTGCCTTTTGTATCAGCAAGCGGGAAGTACTGCGATGCCTGTTTGATTAAGGCTTGGAGCGGTGCTGCACCTCGAGCATCAATTGTGGTTTCGTTCATACACGACTTGTACAGGTTTTGGATGTTTGTGAATATGGTTTTATCGGCTTTTTGTTGTTCTGGGTCGGTAAGGTTTGGGTCTTGAATGTATTTTGATTCAAGGACGGTTTTGAGGACTAGTTGGTTTTCGTCTTGGAGGTCATCGAATGTCCCAATGCGTGATTTCGATGGTGGGAGTGGATGAGATTGGATCCAGCCTGCGCAAGAGTACTCGTAAAAGTCGTCTAGTGGTTGGAAGCTGAATGAGCGTTTTGAAATGAGTAATCCTTACAAACAAACAAAAAAAGGACAGGTGGAGAGCAGCTATACCACAAGGATCAACAGTAGCATCCATAGCTTTAATAATCCGTGCTGATGCAACAACACATTCCGCAGTCAAACATGGCATCTCATTCTACCAAAACGACAAAGAGAACTATCAATTAACATTCCAAACATTCACAACCGTAATTCTGCAAATCGGCTCAACCCACATCTTGATCACGACCAGGCGCGACAATCCACAACGCAAGAAATCCCAATATGGCCAGCACCACGGCTAGCACAATCCAATAAGCGCGTTTCGAGCTGGCTTCGAATCTTTGGCGTGTTGATGATGACTGGTTTTCCAGAAGTGGAGCATCTTCGGACGTGTCTGGAGCACGTTGTTGAGACATTGTATTCTAAAGTTCGTATATAATGTTTAGAAATTGTAAGTGGGAAGTTCATTGACGTGTTCGTTAAGCTTACAATTCAACGCATTAAATCATAATCAATAGTGAACAATCAACGGTATAGCGTCAACCGATTTCAAATGAAATGGAATAATTACCTGGCTATGAATTAAATCCTTCAACTCAATGTCACCGTCACGATGTCTCGGGCTTCTTTGCCGTAAAGCTCCTGACGCCAGAGTTTTGTGTTTTTGCAGAAATATGACGCGTCGATGTCGCTTTTGACAAGTTGGAATTGTTTCGATCATAACGTATCGTGAACGCTTCAAATATCAAATAATCCAGCAATTCAAAACTATTTCGATACGTCTTCCTTTGATGTTGAAACTTGCTGTCGAAACCACCATATATTATTGGGCGTCAACATTACTATAGTATACGAACTCACAACCCTCTATTAAAATATAACTTCTCAACCGGCCGTCCAGCCGAATCCTTGAGTCCTCTGAACTTTGCTTCCAGAGAAGCAACAGAAATCTCTGCCCTCTGTGGAAACAGGGCCACGGCACACGGTAAAGCTGCTGCCAGAGACAGTGTTATCGTAGCTAAGAGAGAGATATGTGAGTATCTTGTTGAAGAAATAGTCGCCAAATTATAATGGTGGTATACCCAGATTGATGGGAGCTGCAAGACGCGGGTTATTCCTAAACCAGGCCTGAGTTTCCAGCTTTGATAGGATGTATCCCGGCACCATTAGGGCTGGGAATGCTGTTGCGATACGTGATATAGCGACCTAGCACGAAAAAAGGTCACTCGGGCGTGGCAATGAACACACAATACCAACAAAACTCGTACCTGACTAACAGCCATCCACCCTGCCCGTGTCGAAGCCCCCACAGCTTTACCCTCTGAATCAGTCACTGTTATACCATCCCTGCATATAAACCTAAGTTAGTTCCTCTGAATTGACCACTTAATGGGCAGTATCTAGTACCTCAGTTCTTTTTGCCTCATCAAAAACACATTAACGGTACCAGCACCGGCCACAGCAGCGAATGGCACCATGCGAGAAATCAAGGCTCTGGTCGCCGGCGACACGTTCTTGATTCTCTTTACGTACTCGTTCAGGCCAACTGCTATCCCACATGATGCGAGTACTGCAGATCCGTATGATGCTATTGTGTGATAGTGTTGAGACAAGAATGAAGCCGAGTGAAGCCCTGCTGAGCTTACCAGCCACTTCAGAAGTTTCCAGCTTGGTGGTCTTGTTGGCATTAAAGTAGTTAAATGCGACACTAGTAGGCAAGTTAACCGTGAGAAAAAAAATCGCTACTAGGACATATGCATAACTGGAATCTCTCAATTCTTTACTTGACGCTCTGATTCATCCACTGCCAAAAGATAATCGACCCCATTCCAGGATTCGGTACAAGCATGCCCATAATAATGGCTACATTCGTTGGCACAAAACATGCCATTCTGAATGGCAGGAATACTTTTTCACCCGTGTCTGGGTGGAAGGTACTATCAATCACTACATTTGAAGGAAAGGTGATGTTCAGTGATGGAAGACTGGTTTTTTGTCGGTTGGGTATTGAGTATTTTACGTTTCTTAGCATTCCATAGCATTTCTTCATCCACATTTGTAATTTTTCCAGCTTTATAATCAGCAATCAGTTGTTTTGATGCTTCAAGTTGGCTGTCTGTTGCGAATAGTGTCCTGTGTTTAAAAAGGTGATTAATGTGAGCGAAAAATCCATCCCAATAACAACAAAACGACGTGATTGACACGTCCAATGCAATATGAACTGGTATAAAAGTATAATTTCCGGTACCTCATATCCGTAACCTCAATGAAATGCCTCAATCTTCCAAGATATGAATCCTGCGAGTAGCGGGGTTTTGCTACAAAGTACAGGTAAGTTCCAGTCAGTTTCTTGACGCCATCGTTCAGTAAACTTACATATGTCAATCATCGTAGTCTGCTCTGCCATCGCTTGGAAGGTCTTCTAAGTGGCAGCTGATTCAACGAAATATGGAGGACGAATTTGGGTTGTCCAAGCTTCTTAAGGAAGTGTCCATACAGCCCAAAGGAGACTCTCGGCAAGCTTGGAATTCATTGACACGGGGAGAAGATAGTGTCGCTGCTCAATTCTTGTTTGGAAACCCCGCAACAATCCCATCATCATCGAACAAAGAAGCGTCAAAGCATCGACAGCCGCAGGTGCAGACCTCTTCAGAGAATAGGAAGCCAGATTTGAGTAGAATGCCTGCTGCGGATCTTGTAGATTTGCTTGAACGGACCGAGAGATATGTGTCAACTGGGTACTGGAATGAAGTTGGTGCTGAAAGCTCTGGCAATTCTATACTAAACCTTCGTTTCTACTATCATCGTAGTCTTGGCGGTGAAGATATGAAGCGCTACGCTGAACGTGTTCGGCAGCAACTCCAACTCAAAACCGGATCATTAGATCTCGACGATATCACCAACAAGGTGAAATCCATGAATGTAGCAGACGATGGCAAGACTATGCGGCAACGGATACGGGAACGTATAAAGACGCCGGATAAAATTGGGAAGATGAATATGGTGTCGGGGGAAGAGAAGCTTCGGGTTGATCGGCTGCATGAGGAGAGGAAGGCTGTAAGTTGTGTTTGAGTTTCTTGCGGTGGACGGGGCATTTTACTGATGCTGTGTTTGCTAATTAAAGGCGTACGAAATGCAATTGGCTGCTCAACAAATGACCAAACCTACGACATCGTCAAAGATGGTTGTGGATTCTTCTGAAACTACGTAAGGCTTGCTTTGTAGACTCGCAGTACAATGAAGCGACGACTCTAATACCTCCCTAATGTAGGCATGATGAATTCAATGACGAATCTGATGAAGATGACGGAGAAGCAGAAGACGCTAATGAAGACGATGCAGGTCAAGATGATGACCAAGGAATGGAGCCTGGATCTCACGATTAGACGCTCAAATTGCACTGGAGGGTTAAATTAAGTAGCATTCGCATGTAGGAACAGAAGTGACCAAGGCTTTTGGCAATGTCGCACTCACATTTGGTGTAGTGCTTTGTACTGTATGTAACTCGTAATATGCATGATGATATTGTCATTGAAATAATGTTGTGACTGCTTTATAACGAAACAAGGCCTCAATGAAACGGTGCATACGTTAAAAGAGTACGGATAAAGCGAGCCCCAAAAGTATCCCTTAAAGTAAGGCCAGAAAGAGAGTCAGAGAAATCATATGCTTGCATTCACAGTATTGGGATCGATGTATCAGTGCCTACTTCGCAGAAAGCTCACTAAGGAGAGTGCCGTTCACAAAAATCTGCCGTTCCTGGTACTGCAGAGGGGTTGCAGGTTTACTTTCCTTGGCCCACGTAACCCGAGCATACCAAACTACCGCGCAGAGCAGCCTTGGTCTCATTCACCACAATATTTTGAATGTGATGAATGACCTGAACCCTTTGTTTTACTCAATGCGTCACAGGAAGCGACCCTCATACCATGACTCGAGCGTGTGACGATTCAGAGGTGGTGGCTAGGAGGAGTCGCTCCTTGTACCGTAATATGCGTACGTTGCGAACAACTAGGAGGCGTTTACTTGCACGAGGTGTAAAGGAGACAATGCCGCGCTCCGTGTTGGAGATGGTTGATAGTATGTTTTCAGCCATTTCTAGTGTCATCGAAATAGTTAGAGATCATGCGTAATGTTGGGGAAAGTAATGCAGTTTCGACTTTTGGATGCCGCAAATAATGTTATGCAGCAAATGGGCACGACCAACAATAGGGGAGACATCATTGACTTCACTAAAGCATTTAAAGATCAAGCCAGTTACTTGCAGCTCAATGTTCACTTTCACTTTGGATGTTGTCAGCCATTCTTTGGATGTTCAGTCACAAATCACGTATTGTGTCGGGTAAGATGGCGTAGACGAGGACAAACGCCATGCATCTTCAATGCCTAGTGTTCGTCCAGGATACTAGCTATCTAGTTTCGTTGGCGTAAGCAGTCAGTCGCAAGTCTTAATCAGGACCGAGGTGCAGATGATGAGCAACATATGATGAGCAACATATGAAACTACATATAGTAGTACGATAGTACGACTTTTGGGATTCAATACCGGACCTCAGATGTAAAATATATCGCGTCCGAATACAGCAATCTAGTTTTCTAGTTTCCTTGCCAAACCTCCCAACACCTAACACTGTACTCTGTAACGTGTTGTAAGCCGGTTTTAAGTATAATAACACGTATACTCTCTATGATATTCACAAGTTAAAGCTCATGCAATACGTAATTTTATCTTAATTCGCCTTGTGCTGACCATACGAGCAGTGTCGTCACCATCCGTTGACATTACGCTTACAACGTAAACCATCTTGATTCGGCTTGATACAATATTCACTGCAGCTACAGTAAGTGCAAACCAAGTCACATAACAAACAATCTCGCTATAGACCCTAACTCGTTCTTCTTATATATTCAGGTCGATGGAAAGAAATGGCAGCATAGGCATGTTTTCAACACCGTCTGCTTCTAGAAACCAAGGAGGAGATGGCATATTGGGAATGAATGGATTTTATCCTAAATCCTCCCAATCTGCTGTAAATCCAAGTCCGTTCCAACAAAATCATCAACTCCAGCAACAACAGCATTATGGAGGCCAGCAGAATGGCGGTTATCAGCAGCCATATGGACAGGGCTATGCACAGCAGTATCCAAATGGATATAATCACGCAAACGGCATACCGATACCTCATCATCATCAGTATGGCCAACAATATCCGAATAATAATAATAACTACCAACAGCACAATCCATACAATCAAGGAGGTGGATGGCAGTCGCAGCAACAGCAACATCAATCACTATCGCAGTATCATCAGCATCCACTCTACCACCCGCCACCAAACCCATATAATATCCAGCCATCACCACCAAAGGAATCAGACAAATTCCTGCCCTCATTCACACTCGGTAATCTGGGAGCAGACAGTCTAGCTCCTCTCCCTCGCACACGCCAACGATCTGCAGACTATGGATCACCCATGCTCGCATCACCTACTGGATCAGCGCCAAATCAGCCATGGTCATACATCCCCCGATCTGTTTCCCCGACAATGTCGTATAACCGAAACTCGTATAATGCGGACGAGTATGGAGAACAGTATAGCAATAGCCCGTCTGGATCGCCGTCGAGGCATTATAGTGGGGGTAGTGCATCGGGTGAAGCACCACCCCCTGCTAGTAGCTTGTATGAGTCGGCGTCGGCTATAATATCGAATCGTATGCCTTCTGCTGCTAGTACAAGCATGGGTGGTATGCTAGGTATGTCTTATTCAAGGCATAAAAAACCTTATGGAACCGTGTACGATGAGCTAATACACACTCGTTTCATCTTATAGGAGCTACTCAAGTGTACCCAACAATGAACCCAGCTCCTCCTCTGAATCGTCCAGCATCACCCTCAAATCCATTCCGATCTCCAGCTGCTGCTGCTGCACCACAATCTACAACCATCATTGTAACTGGATGCCCTGAAGCCTACAAATCCCAACTCGAAGGCCACTTAAAAAGCTTTGGTGAAATCATACACATGGAACAAGGTGGCAACTGGGTCGAAGTAACATATCGCACATATGAGCAAGCAGAAACCGCTAGACTCAGGTTAGATGGTGAAACAGCTGGTGCTTATAGAATCGCCTGCCAAATAGCGGCTCCTAAAACAGGATTATCGAATATCGTTTCGTCTACAACCACTGCGAGTCCTACTGGTCTAGGAAGTCTCATGCTGAATGGATCTGCCTCGTCAACGTCAGCTGGAGGTGCTGCGAGGAGGCCAATACCATCCAGCAGTAATAGCGGTGCCTCTGGATCGGCAGCAACGCCATATACATTATTGGATGCATCATCAGCATCGTCGGCTAGAACAGCACACACACCATCGTCGATGCCTGTAGGAATACCAGTCAATCCGAGACCAGCTACGCCCAGACAACCACAACAAGGGTATGCTATAGGTCCTTCGTCATCCGCTAATGGTAACATAGAAGACGTCATGGCTGCTGTTAGACCCAGTAGTGGTGGGTTATGGCAAAGGGCTTCCGAGTTGTTGTTTGGTTGGTAGTAAAACATCAACAACAACTACTTTTTTAAAAAATGTACATTTTTAAACAATGGCTAAAAAGTATATTTGCATCAAACTTATATCTATGTGTGTCTATGGCTTTTCATGATTGTCCCTCTATGTAAATATGTGTCTCTGCAAGTTTCATCATGTAATTGTCCTCTTTATTGTTTTTCTTCTATTTAGATTGCCTACGCTCCCGATACTCATCACTCTGCATCTCATGCAGCCTCGATATCGCCCTCTTTGCCGCAAACTTGACCTCCCTCACAGGCGCCGACTCCTCCTCACTCCTCGCCAGACTCGTTGCTAGACTCCTGCCCACCAGCCCCGTCGCACTCCATTCCATATTATCCACAAACGTATTCGCCGCCGACGACGATGCTCCACCGCCCCTCCTAACCGATATCTCGATACTATCATCAGTCGTGCCTTTAACAGTATTGCTCGGCAGCGCGACGTTTCCAAACGTCTCTTCTATACTCCCCGACGCCGATACGACAACCCGTGTCCCATCCTCATACGCAACATCCACAAACGTGATCACCCGTCTCACGACATCCATGGCCGAGATGACGGACGTGTCGCCGACGCTCAGGAGCGGGAAGCCGTCAATGAATATTCCACCTTTACCATACTTTTGGCAGATTGATGTATAGTCGGATGCGCCATATGGGGTTTGGAAGAGCTGGGCGAATGTGAAGCGTGCTGTTGTTGGTGTTGCGAGTGGGATTTCGATGGTGCGGCCGGGAGGCACGGGGAGGGTGGTTGGAATGGGTGTGTAGGGACCACGTGCGGATGTGTAGGTGGATTCGAAGGAGGTGAGTGTGGAAGGTGATGTTGGGTGGAACCAGTTTTGGGAGGAGGTGGAGGCGGCGCGTTTTAGGAGGCGGTAGTCGGGGCCTGATGACATGTCGTGCACCTATGTAAGGGTAAAAGTACGTAGGAGTAGAGCATGTTGCGAAACTCGCAAGGATACAAGTCAAATACCTCACATCGCTCCTGCAGCGTCTTAATAAACGGCACAAACAGCCCCCTATTCAGCCCATTCTCATACAGACCCTCCGGCCTCCTATTGCTAGTCGTAACGAGTGTACCCCCAGCCTTGAATATCGAGTTAAACAACCCCTGCAATATCATAGCATCCGCTATATCCGTAACCTGGAACTCATCAAGTGCTAGAATGGGTGTCTGCTCAGCTATCCGTGCACCGATCGTGACGAGCGAGCCCTGGTATTCTCGTCTAGCACGTAGTTCGTGCTGTTGGGCGTGCACGCTGCGCATGAATTCGTGGAAGTGGGTGCGTCGTGAGGGGAGGTGGGCTTGGAGGGTTGCGGTGAAGAATATGTCCATGAGCATGGATTTACCGGTGCCGACTGTGCCGCAGATGTAGAGGCCGCGGATTGTGGGGTGGTGATGGAGGTGGTTTTCTAATAGTGAGTATTAAAGGTAGTGTCAAGACACGAATTGTTGAGCGGCGATGCGTTGACTGGGACTCTGAAAGCAAGAAACTCAAAGTTCTCGGTTGTTTAGTTTCCATGATCATAGATCTTTGCCAAAATCCGACTTTTCTTATGGAGTTGAATTGCAATCGACCACCATTCAAACAAGCAGCGAAACTCACTAGCAGTATAATGGTTGAAAAGCTCATGAAAAAGCGTATCGAGATGCCCAATAACCCGTTCTTGAGAAGGGTCGCGCCGAAGCTTGCCATCTTGGATCTGGCTCGAGTAGATGCTCAGCGGTGTGATGGCAGGAGAGGCCTAATGACGACGAGAGTGAGGAAGCATGGGTCAGTCGATGATTTTAACACGATAATTACGGTCTTTGATGGATGATCACTCGATCGACAATTGGACAAAAATATCAAGAAACTTGCCTTCGCTACTTGACTGCTATTCCATCGTTTGCGAGTGAGTTGCTGAGATCTGCATATGCAGCAGAGTCTTCTCAGCTGATTCGTCTTCCTATAGGCCTGGATAGTCATGAGAGCCTCGTTCGCTCTAGTTGAGCTCGCTTTATTGCTAACGTTGACGCTGATCGTGACATTGGACAGTGTGAACTGCCAAGAAGACATCCCAACATGGTGCGGCAAACCATATAAGAAGGGCCAACAAGATCCAGGTCTCGTATCTCCTCCATTACCACCGAAAAACACGACATTAGTCCTGCAAGTCAAACCGAAAATCCAACCATATACGAATGAGACGGAAGGTGCTTTTATAGTGATTTATAATGGAGGTGTTGGTAAAAGTCAGAAATGGAGTGAGAATCGTAGCTCGTATGTGTTTAGGTGTGTGGCTGCGGATATGGGGATGGAATTTGTCAATTTGGTGATGGAATTACGCAAAGATGGCGATGAGGTCGAAGTATTCTTTTCTCTGGATACCTTTGAAAGGAGATTGAATCCGCATAGTCTTACAGCCACCTTGTCGGATCTAATCTCGAATGAAACAGTCGCAACGCAAACTGTCAACATGTCAGTCCTCCCTGCCGTCAACCCGTTTGGAGGATCTATAACGAAGCTGCTCATTCCGGAAGGCTATATAGTAACCGATAGCACAGAAGAAGCCGTATTATACCAATACGGCTATTATACCTCGTCGCCGTGGCTGTTTGAGATGCCGTATAAACGAGTCGTCACGATGGCCAAGGCCGATAATACCATGATACATCCAGTACCGCCGTATCAGGATGCTGCCGCCATGCATGTCTTGTTTGATGCTGCTGAGGCTGCTGATTTGACGATCATGTATGACATGCGTCATACATTTAGGAATCTGACAGCTGTCAGAGAGCAGGTCTTGGAGTTTCGGCGCCGTAAATCGCTAGCTGTTTGGTATACGGCTGATGAGCCTGATGTGAGTGTTATTGTCTTGAAATGCCCTGTCTTTTACGTGTTTCTTGAAGACAAAGCTCTTCACTGTTCGAATCACATTCTCAAACCAAATTCATATTCACACTTAGGGAGTCTCGGATAGCCCTGATATAACAAGAGCCGCATATGAACTCATAAAAGAACTGGATCCATATCACCCAGTCGCATTAGTGCTAAACTGTCTCGCACTGCCCGCATACTATACACACTCGGCCGATATATTACTGACAGATCCATATCCTGTCGGTATAAACGCTACCTGGTCGACTCTCCACGATACAGTCTGTAATGCCACGTATGGAGACTGTGGCTGTGATGGGTGTGAAGGACGACTGATGGACGTTGCTACTCGTCTACGAACCTTTAAAGCAGAATTGGCTCCTATAGATAGACATAAACCTCTATGGGCTGTACTGCAAGGATTTGGGAAGGAAGCGTATTGGTCGCATTGGCCAAACGAGAAGGAGATCCGAGTGATGGTGTATTTAGCATTGATGAATGACGCGAAAGGGATTTTGTACTGGTTCCATCCACAACCTACATATCCAGAAGTATTTGAAGCTACAGGTCGTGCTGGTAGAGAAGTCGCTAGATTCGGACCTGAGATCTTGCAGGGAACTCGTCTGAATGTCGTGATGGTGGAGGGTCATATCGAAGCTGCAGCTTGGCTTCTGAAGAGTGGTCGGGTATTCTTGATGCTTGTCAACCCTGATTCTCACACTATACCGTGGTTTCGTCTCAGGATTGAAACTGAAGGTGTCTTTGATCTCAATGGGGTTGATGAATATTGCTTTGTGAATAATGTTGAGGTGAATGTATATGATGACTCTGTATTTGGGAGAGAATTCCCGCCAGAAGAAGTCTTTCATAGGTATATAATGCCAGAGGCTCTGGTTTCTGCTGTACATTATGAGGATTATCAGCAGGTGGTAATAAATTGAATCTGTTTGCAAAAATTTCAATTTCGTCTTTTTGTTGATTGGAATGCAAAGAAGCCTTTGCCTGCAACGAGCTTTTCGCGATCTGATGCAGTTAATTTCAAGCACGGATGCCCACGTTGACGAATGTGTTGAAATGAGACCTCGATGTGTATTGTCGAACAAATTAAAGTAGACTGTCTGTGCACACGAAGCAACATGGACCTTAAGAATCGGGCTGGCATATTCCATGCTTGTACGATCTGATTCTCACACTATACCATGTTGTCCTCTCACGAATGAGGCTGAAGACCCTGAAGGCGTTCACAAATAGAATGGGATTGATGCCCCTCTGGTTTGTGAGTAATGCGAAGGTGAAAGTGTGTGATAAATTCGTTATTTGGAATCTTCCATGGATATATTACGCCAGAGCGAGACTGGGGTTGACCTGTGCAGTATGAGGATTATCAACAAGTCGTCATAAATTGAGCCTTTTGCAAAGATTTTATTTTATCCGTTTTGTTGGGCTTTTGGAGAGCGCCGAAGAATCTTGTTCCTTCCTTTCGCGCTTCAAAGTTGAATATGCTTATTGAAAAAAAACTTGTTTGGGTTTGGTGCGGGACACCTAGACTGCGGATTCGAACAGGCTTCAGGACTAACAAGGAATAGTGACCAGGGATTACCAATTCAGGTACTCAAAGTCCGCGGTATAGACACAGACACCCTATCTCCTAAGCAAGCTGCCAGACGTTCCACAGATTGAAAAAAATACAGGTTTGTTCGCTGTTGCACCGTACCTTGAGGGTTCCCTCCGAAATAAATGTTGAACGCAAACGTAATTCCAGTAACATA